AAAAAAAAAAAAATTAAAAAATGTATACACACTAATTTCAAATAGATTATTTAAAGTCTCAAAGGAAAGTATTTCCTGAATTCAGACCAATATCTATAACTGGTATACCTTCAAGATGAAAGACTTCGTTTAGCATGTTACCATGAAGGTAAAGCAGGTACTTCTGCCACAGAACTCAGCACTGGAACTATATCCTTCAGCCCGGGGATCAAATGTGCATTATATTCCCTGGTAAATATAGCAGCCAACAATTTAGATATGGTAATCTTATTGTTCCATCCCAATAACCTAATAGCTTTTGCCATGTAATCTGAGCCAGGACAGGTCATATAAGAAAGGAGAAAGAAGACTCATATGACCATGGAAACAACTCAAGTGTCTATAATCAGGAAAAGACAGAGATAAATTGTGGCCTTGTCAAATGCTGAGTCTCAAACAAATGAATCACAGCTTCATGGAACACAGCTTCACTGGAAACAAGGTGAATTTAAAAAAAAAAAGTAAGTTCAAGAAGACTAAGGCATACTAGTTTTATAAAGTTCACAAACATGCAACATTAAACAAACTATTTATAAATATGTACATATAAAAAAATATATAAATATGTACATATCCTGGAGGACATTTTAAAAGTCAAGAGAATGATATATACAAAATTTCGGATGGGGTTATTTGGAGAGCAGGAAGGAAGAAAGGGAACTGGGAAGGAGCATACAAGTGGCTTCAACAGTATCCATAATGTTCTATTTCTTTGGATAGGTGGCAACTTAACAAGCATTCATTTTATTTTTATGTTTTATACTTTACATTTATATTACACACATTCTTTTACATATATGTCAAGCATTATAAATAATTTTTAAAGAAGTTATTTGACTTAAAGAGGATCCTATCATATGCCAAAAACACACTTCCAGTCCTAAGGCTTGACATCTACCTAACACAAGAGCATCTTCATTTTTTTGAAATCTTTCCAAAAACAAAGACACTTTACAAATAAGGGACATACTGCAGTCATCGGTGTCATCTTTTCATCAACTTTCCCCATAAAATAGTGCACTCTGGCTACCTCCACACCGTAACTCACAAACCATGTTAAGCACCAATGACTTAAAGGATATCTGTCTGCGGTGACAATAAGCCAAGTCTTTTTGAGAAATAAAATATAAAACAAGATGCACAAGGTATAAAAAGAGTATAAGAGGACATTGTAGAGAATACGAAAAGGGACTTGAAAAAATTAGGAAAAAAGAAATAGAAAGCACCTTAGAGTAAGAAGAATCAGATATAAACCATACATAATCTTGCAATTTAAAAAAAATATTTAAAAGAACATCCAGGTGTCCTGAGGATTCTCTGAATTATTTAAAAATGGATCAAGACTGTGCCAAATATTAGAAACTAGAGAAGATACTTACAAAGTCATCTCCTGAGTCGGCTCCCATAGAGGCAACCGATTCCTTGCTCACTGACCGTGGGATCCGAGTAGCACCTCCTGGCCTCTGGGCCACAGCAGTCTCTTCTGCTATTTTCTTCTTTAGCTTTGCAAACATTTTTGCTGTGTGGCTATCCTGCACTGATGACCAGCTTTTGAAACCACCACAGTAGTCTAGTCCTTAGGCCAGCAACCAGGACTTCAGAGACTGGTGCCTAAAAAGTTCCAGACATCTGAGATAGCTGCATTCCCACTTAAATGTGGGCCAACGGCTTACAGAACACAGTATCTAGAAATCAGATGAAGGAGAGATCTAAGTTAAACACAGGAGAGATTTCACAACTGACTTGCTATGTTAAGCTTCAGGTTTCAAAATCAAGTTTCCTAATTTTACATGTACATTTAACAGAACACAATTGCTAAACATTGAAAAAGCACTCGGGTACTTCATATGCATAAACAGGTAAGGAAATCCAGTCTTGAGAAGATGAGGTAATCTGCCAAAGAGTGTGTGGTTAAGTGGAAGGGCTGGTATTTGAACCGAGGACTCTGACTCACAAGTCCTTACTCTTTCTTTATTACACCACGTTGGCTATGGCATATAACACACTTTAGTAAAACTTCCCAGGGTACACATTAACATCACATTATGGCTTGGAATCCTTCCCCCAATATTAAGTTTAACTACAGTTTACTTTTTTTTTTTTTTAAGATGAAGACAAGAATATGTAACTCAATATGGGGATAAAGGTGTAACATTCTAATGTTCTAAGATGGTTTGCAATCAGCTGTTCACTAGAAAAAGCCGACAACCTAGAAAAAAAACCCCACAAGCCAGACAACTATACTATAAAGCACCAGATACCTTTACACATTTCCGGGAAATGCTGCACGGTTCTCTTTAAGGGTGATTAAAATGACCTGAAATCAGGGGCGCCTGGGTGGCTCAGTCGGTTGAACATCCGACTTCGGCTCAGGTCATGATCTCACGGTTTGTGAGTTTGAGCCCCACGTCGGGCTCTGTGCTGACAGCTCAGAGCCTGGAGCCTGCTTCACATTCTGTGTCCCCCTCTCTCTCTGCCCCTCCCCGCCCCTGCACACACTCTGCTTTCTCCCTCTCTCAAAAATAAATAAACATTAAAAAAGATGACCTGAAATCGGTTTCTTCTTAAGAATGTTTTACATGAGATTCAAATGTTTTTTCCTCCCGGTGTTGTATGAAACACTAATATTCCGGTTCCAACCTTGACTTATATCCATGTTTTGTGGAGGATACCTAAGCTCTGCTCTAAGGTCTACAAATGACTTCTGAGCACTTCAGATTATCCATTTAAGTCTGTACAACTCTTCAATGTCTGTAAACCACCTACTCACCTGGCTTATCTGCCAGATTTAAAACAGCTTGGAGGTCAAAGCATTCTGTCCTGCATGAAAACAAAGATAAAACGCATTGGGTATTTCAAGTGTAAGGCCAACATGTTGGGGGGGGGGAGTGGAAGAGGAGAGAGGGAGGATTAACCAGGGGACAGAGGGGAGAATCTGTCACTGCAACAATCCTCAGTGGGCGACCTTCCTTCACCCTGGTCTCCTTTGCATTTGTGATCTTTCCGAGACCTGCACTAACAGGCACAAAGAATAGAATCTCTCACCGGTGCCTAAATTCACTTCACCTTGGGAGCCCTAAGCAAAACCAACTTGAATGAAAGAAATTAAGGTTTCCCAGGGTATTTATTTCTCAGTTGATTCTGGCAGTCACACATTGTTTACCTGGCCACACCGGGGGCTGTCCAGTCACAGAGACTTGACTCACACTAAAAAGTCGCTGAGAAAAAGAATGGCTAAATTGGGTAAAAGACAGCTGCCTAACGCCCAGGGAGGCAGGCAGGTAACTTGCTAAGGGAGTCCGGATCCCACTCATTCAGGCTCCTTCGAGAACCTGCGTTTGGACTGTCAGAGAAAAGAGGGACCCAAACGTCTCTCCCATTTGACAGCAAGGAAACTGAGACCCAGAGAGGAGTGACTTGTCCAAGGTCGCTCGGGGGGAATCCTGAAACTTATAGGTTCCAGACTCCCAGGCCCGGCAGCCCCTGTACCCCCACCCCCGCCGTTTCAGAACCCTGGCACCGCCCCCCGCCTTGGGTCTTGGGCAACCCCGTCCGGGCCGCTCTGGGGGCAGACCGGGGCCACCGGGAAAATGAGGGGTCTGCTGGCATTTCCAGCCCCCGCCCGCGCACCTGCCGCTCTCTGGGCAGCCGGCAGAGCCCCGCCTCCGGGACCTCTCACGAACGCCGGCCCGCGTCACCAGCCCCCACGGCCGGCCGGCTAGCAAAGCAGCGACCCGGAACCGCACCTCCACCAGCGCTCCGGAAGTGGCTGCGTGCGGGGCGGGCCTGCCGTGCGCATGCGCCCGCTCGCGGTCTCCGCGAACGACTTCCAGATCTTTGGGGCGGCGGTTGGGACGGAGCCGCTGGAGGGCGCGGGCGCGAGGCCGGGCGCTCCTTGAGGCCGGCCTGCCACGTCAGCCAGAGGACCGACATGTGGACGATGACTGGGTGGCCAAAGCCTTTCTTGTTGTTGTTGTTGTTTTAAGGGGGCGGTGCGGAGCGGGGGGAGTGGGAGGAGCCTGCTGGCAGAAGGGGAATCCCCAGTTGGTGCCGTGGGGCCAGCATGTGCTGTGAGGTTTAGAAACCCCGAAGCCGTGACTGTGCTCAGCCGACTGGGAGTTTCCGTTCCGCTCTCCGCATCCCAATCCCACTGCACCGTACACGGCCCTCTTGTCACTCTGTAGTAATCCCTGCAAGCCTGTGGCTCCAGAAACTAGAACTCGGTCTTCGCGCCTCGTGACTGAGTGTTGTAACGTTTGTGCCTGTGACCTGCTGCAAGTTATACGATTTATATCGCAACCCAGGACACACATAATGTACCATTGATAGAAGCGCTTCCAGAATCAGGCCCTTGCATAATGCACTTCGATATATTGCATTTCACTAATAAACAAGCTGGTGGCAGCCCACTACGTTCATTTCGGATCTGCTAATGGGCCTCCAACTTTCGACAGTTGAGCAAAGTCCAGAGAGGCAAAACTGCCTCGTTCAAAGTTACCCTGCAAATTGGTAGCCTACGTCGGGTCTCTGGACTCCTCAGTGCCAACCAAGACAGACATTCTACACTTAAGTCGCTCTTGTTCTCGACCAAGACCCAAAACCAGCCGGAAAGTCAGCAGCTTCCACCCTCCACCTCCCAAACAATCTTCCCTCCGCGTGTCTCAGTTTTGACCACCGCAAGCAGGGCGGTGGAACAAACCAAGACTAGGACTCCAAAGAAAAATTTATGAACTAGAAGATTAAACATTGAACCTACGGACTTCAAGACAGTCTGAAGTGTCTGAGGTGTTACCTGAAAGAAGCAAACCCTAATAGTTGAGCACGTATGTTGTTAACAATCCTGAAGAAGGACCAAAAATTTTAAGCAAATAATGTTTATTTTTATATTGATGATACACTTAATATACACGTGGATTCAAGATACAAAATTCATTTACAAGAGTTCACACCTGATGAATGTAGTCACATTCCTAAAGAACATTTATCAATGCAAAAATGTTTTCAATACACTGACAACAAAAATCAAATATTCTGTAATCTTATTTTTCAATAAACATCAAAACAACAATGTTTAACTTTCCATCCTCTAGCGTTTAAGTGCCCTTAAGGTGGCAGGCACTGTAACAGAAGAAAACATTGGAAAGACAAGGGCCTACTGAATCCACTCTGCAGAATCACAGTGTTTACTCTGAAATTCATTTAGTGAAGTAGTTAGTGAAAGGCTTGCTATCCTTTATGACAAATCACATATCATACAAGAGTCAAAAGTGATGAACTCAAGGAAATAACATGTTTCAGTAACTTCTCAGTTTCTAAAATCTATGAAGTACTAATCATAACAGACACAGCAGTAAAAGGCTACTGAAAACACAACAGGAAAACATCTTTAGGAGTATGTATGTATGGCTTAAGCAATTCAGAAACACAACAAATAAGACTTTCACAATACCACAAATGCTCAAGTCAAATGATAATTGACGATATAATTTTCCCCCTTAGTCATTGGTAGTAAACAGCCCCTTCAAAATTTATTCTACTGGTAACATATAAAACTAATGAATCCAAATGGTTTGCTGTCTCACAGAGCTGAGTTGATGAATTTTGATCTAAAATATTAACCCACAATACTAAAAATTTAATACAAATGAGCAACAAGACTATGTCTCAAGGATTACAGTGATTTATCAATAGCTAGATAGGCAACCGAATAGCTTCGTTATTTGCACACGGATTAGCAGCACTTGGATAAGAACTGTTACATGAAAATTATTGTGCTTCAATCTCTTGAGGAGAGCTAATAGATATAACTCTATAATCCCTATAGTGTTACAATTCTATAACATTTCAGTTACAGACAAGCACAATTTTTAAAAAGTATTTCACACTACCACAAAATCAAGTAATTGTATTCTCCAAATGTAATTTCTGCTATGATTGAAACAAGGGCATTTATGCCTGATATCCATAAGCTAGATAGTAGGTTCACCATTATTTTCAGGGAAAAAGTTCAAACACAACTTATTTTAACTCCTATTTGATTAGCTTAACTTTTAGTGATGATTTGAATAAAGAAAAAGGATATATTCAACTTGACAATGGAAACTGATCAGAGAAAATAATAACAATGTGGACTGAAATAACAATAATCTTTAAAGTAAATGATTTATAACTGCTTCATCTGATTCAATAATTAATAAAACCACTATTTGTACTGGTGCTACACATGAAGATAACCTATTTGGATAATTTCCTTGACTTGTAAGCTCTACTGTGAAAATGTTAGGGCATTGTATCTGCCTAAGTCCTGTCTACCTCAACTGGGAGAAGTGTCCAAAATATAAGACTCTCTGATTGTTAAACAGCAAGGTTTATTAAAAACAAACAAAAAAATCATTGGAGAACTAGCCATATGGTCTATGTGGCAAAAGGAATGTATCCAGAGAACTAGAAAAAGCTACAAAGTCCTCAAATATTTTACTGAACCGTTAAATTTATTTTTAATAAGATGCCAAGA